CACCCCCCACACTGCAGGTCTCTCCATCTCTCATCCCTTGCCATTGGTTTTATGTGTTTTCCTGAGGCTGCAGTTACCATTTGTTCTCATTAAAGCTTTTTTTCCTTTTCTTTTTCTTTTTTTTTTTTTTTGGACTTAAAATAAATATTTAAAACTGAGGCAATGAAACTGGACTGGAAAATGTTTTTTGGTTGGGTTTTTGTTTGTTTGTTTCTTTGTAGGAAACTAAGCGGGCAAGAGGTGCAGAAATACCACACACACACCCCCCCATCTCCTGGGGTGACAACATTGGTGTGACAGCCTAGGTTACCCCAAACCCACACCCCAAAGCCTTCCACGACCTGCCCAACCCTCAGCATGATGCTAAATGCACAACGAGGTTGGGATCCTGATGGTTCCCCACTGCTGTGCATCACCCCATCACCCCATGCCTCATCCATGTCCCCATCCTGACACAGTGCCCAGAGCAAGAGGGAAAGGAAAAAAAGGAGAGGACAAAAAAACGGGGGAAAAACCGGAGGGGAAAAGGAGGAGAGGGAAAAAGGGAGACAAACTGTAAGGGAAACAAACAAACTATAAGGGAAACAAACTGTAAGGGAAACAAACTCTAAGGGAAATTGTAAGGCTGGGAAGAAAGGGGAAAGAAAAGGCAACATGAAAGGGCAAAAAGAGGGAGGAAAAGACGGTGAAGAAGGGAAAAACCCAGTTATGCTGCACCACAGACGCTGCCTTGGCTGGTCCCGGTTGCGACAGGAGCAGCGGGAAGGGGCTGAGCTGTGTTTGCTCACCCACTGCTCTGCCCTTTCCCAGCAGTGCTGGGACACCCCAGGGCACGATGAGGTGCTGGGTGATGGCACCGGGTCAGCTTTGGCACTAAAACCCATCTGGGCTGGGGCTGTCCCTCACACGAGCTGCCGGTCCCGAACCGCGCTGCGGTCAGGGCTAAAGCAAACACATCTAATAAATCATTCACAACACTTAAATACAAAGCCAACATTAGAGGAGCTCTAAGGCACTGTTAAATGAGGAGATTCTGCATTTGAAGAAGTTGTAATTTATGTAGTTCGTTAAAAGCCTGAGCCCACTGCACTGGTGGGTCTCCTGCATCATACCCAAGGCCCCGTTCCCCACGGAATCCCCCCCAGTATCTGACCCCAAGAGCACATGTGAACCCCTGTGCCAGCCCCATGCCCTGGCAGGGAGCAAGGCCAGTGTGAACTGAAGCCTGGGGGTGAACAACCACCCCCTATCAAGCTCTGCAGAGGTTTATTTGCCCTCTGGAGGGAAGCCACACCCAGGTGCCCTCAAGGCCTCCAAACACACCTGGAGCTGCCAAGTGCTCCACACCCACAAAATTAGTTGCAGTTTTCAAGAAAAAAAAAGCCTGCATTGGTGAAACGTTATGTTGGTGGGGTTTTCTCATCTTTTTCTGTTGGAGAAATCCAAGATTTTGCAAGTTGAATTTCCTCCACCTGGTATTGCTTCATGCCTGAGCAAACAGCCCAGCAGCAGAACAGGCACATTGCTGCTGGGAATGTCCAGCGTTGCTGGCAGCTGTATATAAGGGACAGAGCTGATCAACAGCCTGGCAGAGCAGGAGCATCCTCCCAGCTGGCCAGGGACATGCTGGCCACCATCACCCTCCTCCTGGGGCTGCCCCTGGCCCTCGCCACCGAGCCCCCCAGCTGCGCCCCGCTCGTCCCGATCACCTTCGACAACACCACCATCCCCAGGGTAAGCCCTGCCCTCTCCTTTCCTGTCAGCATTCCTAGCCCTTACAGGTCCAGGAAGAGGTTATAGACTCATCAGCTCTGTGCTTATCTGGCTGGCTATCCATGCTGCTTTTCTTAAAAAAAAAAAATCCAGACAGCTGTACCAGGGCACAGGGAAGGGGTGAAGCCTTGCAGCTCTGCACCCATAATCTCATGAACAGGCACTTTTGGAGGCTCCTGCTTCCATCTCCTCTTGCAAGCCAGGCTGGGCACCACCATCCCAGTGGCTTGTCACTCTGTTTTAAGTCCTTCAGGTGGTGGTGACCTAGGTCACAAGTCTCCATCCACAAACCCTTCACTGCACAAACAGTATTTAGTCCCTTGGGAATGTTTAATGGGAGGAAAGCAATGAGAACTGGGCACCGAGCAGGAGGGACACTACCACAGAAAGAACTAGCCATCCTGGGAGCTGCAGCAGCACTTTGGCAGAGAGGGGACAAAACCCAGGGGATAAAACCCCTCACTCAGCCTGGATCCTGCCCCAAGGTGGTCACCTACCAGGGGTGGGGGATGGCAGGACATAGCATCTGCTTTCACTGATGTAGTGCCCGTGGGTGAACCTGATGTGGCTGCCCCAACCTTCCCCACTTCTCTCCCCTCTGCAGCTCCTGGGACAATGGTTCTACATCGTCGGTGCCACCAGGTACCCCCCTTACCTGCCAGAATTAAGAGCAGCGAAATTCTCGGCTTTTTCCTTCTCCCCTGGCAGCCATGAGGACGAGCTCAACGTCACTGAATTCATAAGACTGTAAGGACAGGCATTCACCCCCTCATCAAGCTCCCCCCAACCCCAGGGGCAATTCTACCTGCTGGTACCATCCTCTGGGCTGAGGCACCCTTTCAAATTTGGGACTGGAGAGCAGCTGTGCCACCTTTATTTAAGCTCTGCAGTCCCACTCAAGTTCCAAGTCCCCCGGGCTTGACAGGGACATTTGCTCCATCTGACCTCTCTGCCCCACAGGAACGAGACGTGTGTGGGGAGGAACAGCAAGGTCCAGGTCTTGCAGGAGAACTCCACCCTGGTGCACGGTGAGGCCCGGTCAGAGCATGGGAAGGGGATGCACCTGGGAGTCTCCTGCTTCTGCCCCCCAGTACTGGGCACCACAAGCCCTTTTACACCTAAAATTGCGTCTGGAGGTGGGGGGAAAAATTTCTTCCACCCCACACCATGGGTACAGCAGTGCTGTGGGACCAGGCTGGTCCCCACTGGGATGAGTCTCAAGGATAAAAGGGGATGAGCAGCCCCTGCCAGCTCTGCCCAGGGTGAGCCCCAGCACGGGGTGATCCCACTCTCTCCATGCCTTCCAGTTGATGATAACTAGGCGGTTTCCATGGCCACACTGATCCAAAGCGACAAGGACCTGCTGATCCTGAACCACATCAACATTGACTCCCCAAGTCTGAGCCTCTCAGGTGAGTGGATGCTGCCTGGATATGTGGGGTAAAGCCTTGTCCAGGGACAAATCAAGGGGCACAGGCACCCCCAACCCTCACAGGCAGGGCAAAAAGCCCCTTTTCCTCTGATACAGAAAGGGGAAAGATGGGAGCAGGCAGGCAGTGGGTTCCACATCTGCACTACGGGGATCACCCAGGAGCAAAGCACCCCTAAAACTCCCTTTTGTTCCCCCCCTTCTCCACTCCTCTGACAGCACGGACACACAATGTGAGCAAGGAGCACATGGAAGAGTTCAAAGCCCACCTGCACTGTCTGGGCCTCACCGAGGAGGACATGTACTACACTTCCATAAAGGTACCAACCCCTCCCCAGGGTGGGTGAGCCCCAGGCCAGCTTCTGCCTCCAGTTGGGATGGGGTTCTGGGTGAGGTGTAAGTGTTGTTCCCCACTGCAGCTTACCCTCTGTGCATCTCCCCTCCTCCCTAAGCATCCAACCCAGCCATTCCTTGTGGTTTGGGGGCAGAGGGGCACTGACAGCCACTCTCCCCTCTCCTGTAGGATGCCTGTCCCCCTCCTGGGGAGAAAACAGGTGAAGGTGATGCAGATCCACAGCTGGAGTAACCCCCATGGACCAGTTCAGCTGCTCCATCCTCATCCTCCTACAGCCAGGCTCAGTGCAGCCTCAGGAGCTCCTATCCAGGCTTTGTTTTTCTCTCATGGATTAAACAGCCAGTTCCACTGTTCTCATCCGGACCCAAAATAAACCCCTGTGTTACAATCACCAGCTGCTCCTGCTCCATCCTCTCTGGCACCATGTGCAGGACCCCCTCCTGCATGCCCTGCCAATGGTGCTGCATTTCCAAACCTGCCAAGAGGTGTGAAAAGCCCCAGACAAAACCCAGACAGTGCCAGGCGTGGCAGCAGGTACAGAGATGCTCATCCCTCACGCCAGCTCTGTGGTGGCAGGGGATCCCAGCCTCAGGATGTTGGGATGTGAGCAACAACTCATCAGCCCTGACCCCACAGGGAGATACACAAACCTGCCAACCCCCTCGAATCTCCTCCACCATGACGCTTTTAGCACCTGAACATCCCACCCTCAATTTTCAAGCCAAATCCCACAAGGCTCCATCTGCACCAGGGCCTTCCACAGGGGTCACAGTGGGGTGGGGTGACAAAAGGTGACATTGCACCTTTGCTGAGTGTCTCCGAGCAGGAAAAAGGGGAGACAATGGGAAAAACCATCACCCAGGGCCACACCAAGGGATTCAGGAAGGCTTTGCTACCAGAGGGGAAAAGGTAAGCAGAAATAATGCCAGAGAAGCAGGTCCTGCCCTGACCAGCAGCACAGGGACAGCAGCAGGACAGGGAGGGGAATTCAGGGAGCTGCTACAGATCTGTCCAGCAGGATAGGGGTGAGCTCCTGGGACCCACCAGTCCTATTTTTATGGCTGGTTTTGGCAAGGACAGCAAAAACACGTTCCCTTCTCTTCAAAGCCGCCCTGGGCTTTGGCTGGGATGGGGGGAGCTGCACCGTACCTCATTACCAGAGCTAGGGGCAACTACAGCGGCCACCTGTGGGGGGGAAAATGGGCAAACTTAGGGCACATTTAAGTTTTAAATGCAGGGACTGCATCGTCCCCATCACCAGCAGCCCACACCTATCCTCGGCTGCAGCCAGAGGGCCAGGGCGAGCGTCGGCGCCCAAAAGGTGCTGGTTGCATCACCGGTGCGGTGGCCCGGCAGCCCCGGCAATCCTGTCCCCTCCCGAGCAGGTGGCTGACAAGGAGCCGAGCGCAGCGTGGTCGTCTGTCCGGCCCCGGCCCCTCGGGAGCCATGGCCGGGATCGGTGACCCTCGGCTGGCGGTGCTGCTGCCCACGGCCGCCTTCCCCTGCGGAGCCCTGCGCCCTGACAACGCCACGGCCACCAAGGTAGGAGAGACACGAGCCCCAGGGGGCTGCCCCGCTCCTACAGATAACTTGTGGGTGCTCTGCCAAGCCTCCCTGTCCCCTGGGAAAAAGGGGGAAACCCCACCTTGTCCCCTCCCGGCACATCTGCCAGCGTGCCCTCGGTGAAACACCTGCAACAAACGTGAAACATTTGCTTTCCAGAACACCCCGAATCGCCCGGTTTTCTCGTGGCACCCTAGCAAGTCCCAACAGCAACCTCCAAAGAAAGAGGGGTGGCTGGGTATTTTTTGGGCTGCCCTGACCCTGCTGCACCACCCAGAGCACCACAGCCGGCGCCCAAACACGCAGCTTGTTTTTTTACCCCGGTGCAAAGGTTTCATCCGCTGGCTGCCAACGTAGTGTCAGAGGGAGAACTCACAGAGATACCAATTCTGCCACGGGGAGGGTGGGGATCTCCTCCCCACGGCTCTCCCCTGCAAACCCAGCAGCCCTCACCGCCCTGCCCCTCTCTCCCCGCAGCTGCTGGGGACGTGGCTGTACGTGGCCGGGGCTGCCCAGTTCCCCCGGCACCTCCTGGAGATGCTGCTCATCGACCACGGGCACCTGCACGTGGAGCCCCTCAGGGATGGGCCGGAGCTGCTCATCACCCAGCACGTGGCCGTGTAAGATGCTGCCCCCAAACCCGTCCCCTCCCACCTGCTGCAGCCCCACAGCCTTTCAGTACAAAGTACGAGCACAATTCCAGATTGATTTCTCCAAAAAGACTCTCTCCTGGCTGCCCTGTGCATCCTCTCCCATCTCTTCTCTTCCTCACTCCCTTCAATTAATTATTTATTTCAACAGTCCCCGGGTTTGGGTGAATTTTGCAGGGCACAGAGGTCTCACAGACACCAAGCCCTGTGGGCAAGGAGAACACCTCTGTGAAGGAGGAGAATTCTCCAGTGCCACAGCCACTGACTGTGCCAGGCACCAAAAGGTGTTTTCCTTGCCAGGTCAGACTTTCAGGGGATGATTTTTTTCTGTGCCAACACAGGCAGCAATTTGTTGTTTCAGTTATTTCGGGGTGGAAAATATCTCACCACCAAGGAGTGGGGGCAAGGCACAAAAAATGCACAGGAGAAATGCCCTAATTTTAACAGTGAGAGCAATTAACCCAGTGAAGGAGGTGGCAGGTGCCTGGTGTGGGCTCAGGAGCAGGGCTGGGTCTTTGCTGGTCCTTTCCAAGCCCATGGCATCACCCCCTGCCCCTCCCTCTCTCTCTCCAGGGGGGACCAATGTCTCACCAACAACCTCACCTACTTGGAAATCGCCGCCGGTAACACCACACTGGTGAAGCATGGTGAGCACCCATTATCCCCCAGCCCGTGTTTTTCCATGGATTGAGACACACAAAGGGCCCATGTCCATGTTTTACATCATCTGATGCATTTTCTTCCTGGGCCACTTTGCCTGTTTGAAGCCTCGGTGAGCTCCAAACAACTCCCCACACCAGGACACCCAGGGGATCACACCCCCCCTTCCAGCCACACTAAACTCCACAGAGCAATGCTGTTCCAGGAGCAAACCTGCTCCCACCCCTGCTGGAGAACACCATCTTGTTTGTGAAGTTATTTCACAGTCCCTGGGGGAAAGGAGGGAACATTCATGGGAGTTTTCAGTGAGTTAATGGAGCTTCTCATTCTGAATTGCTTCCTCCTTGCAGAGGAAACAGGGGGAGCCATTCAGGGTGGGAATTGCAACCTCCTGGGTTTACAGTTTGCACTGACCCAGCCACAGCAGCACTGCTGTGAGCAGGGGGCAGCTTCTCCACGTTTTTGCAGACCCCCGAGCTGCAAGGTCAGGCACTTGGGGTCAGGCACACCCTCATACCCCGAGCCTCAGAATGCCACACCATGCAGCACATTCCAAAAGCAGGACAGGAGTTAGGTGACTTTGGCTCCTTCACACCCCAGCCCCATATTTAAGGAACACAATTCAAATAAACCAAGAACCAAACAAGTCACCCCATGTCAGGACATTTGTCCTCACCCACTGCTGAGGGCTGGATTCCGGGGGCTACTGGCACTGCTCACACCTGGGCTGGGGTTTGTAGCTCCTGCAGCACTAAAAATCTGAATATGTTCTCTCCAAGCCAAGACCCAGGAAACTGTGGGGACACTGATGAACCTCAGCTCTGAAGACCTTTTACTCATCCAGTACCAACTGCAGAGGGAAAGGACATATTTGGGACTGTATCTCTACGGTAGGCAAACTCCTTCCCAAAGTTACTTTGTCATGGGACACCGAAACACACACATAAAATTATCAACTGAAACCACAACAACAGCTTGGTTTCACCAACAGTGAAACTTTCCTGAGACCAGCGCTCCAGGGGTCACAGGAGCATTTACAAAGCCCATTAAATCCCACATCTCTTGGCAGAACAGAAAGAACAAGTTAAAGACCAAACCCACTTAGATTATAAATATTCAAAGAACAGGAAGCAAATACAACTCAGCATCAATATCATTGTAAAATCTCAATATTTTCAAGCCAACCATGATGTTTCAGTGCTTACCTCCCAGGGCAGAACACGTGGCTTTGCAGTGCCAGCACAGGCAAAGCTGATCAGATCTACCCACAACCTCATAAAGCACTTTTAGACCCTGATAAGGCTCCCCATTGCCCATCCAGGCTGCAAAGCAATTGATTAAGAGAGAAAACTGCCTCCATACTCAGCCTTGGACCCTCCCATCACCCCAGGAATGTCAGACTATCCTGCCATCCCTTAAAGCAGACAGGACTGGAGTAGTTTGGGAGAGTAAAAAAAATTATACCCAAGGCTGGTTTTGTTCATGTATGTTCACCATGGGCACAAGAGATCCCTGCAGAGACCACATCCACAGCAAGCACTGGTGGGGAAAGGAGGCAGCAAGGGCAGGGACATCCTGAAGGGCCATCCTAAGACCACTAGTCCATATTTAACTCCTGGCAAATGCTTCTCCTCTTCCAGCCCGGAACCTGAGCGTGAGCACAGCTGACCGTGAGGAATTCGAGCACCACGCCAAGTGCCTGGGGCTGAGGGAAGAGGAGATCATTTATGCACCCTGGAAAACAGTACGTGGGTGTTTGTGGGTGGGCACGGGTCAGCAGAGCCAGCACAGCCCCCACCCCAGGCTGTGCCCCCAGCTGCCAAACTGGGGTCTTGGAGAGGCGTTTTCGAGGTGGTGGAAAGGATTTAGGGGACTAAATAACCACAGGGTTGCTTAAATGGAGGTTTAAAATAACATCCCCCTGCAGATAGGTGACTCCTGAAGGCAAATACCTGCACCCGAGCATCTCCAGGGAAACCTGGTAACTGCCTCCCACTGCCAGGAGAGAAATAGCTACAGCATGGGATCTTTGCCCTGAAATTCCTCATTTTGCCTCGAAACTCCTGATTTTGCCCCCCCAACCCCCAGCAGAGACCAGCTGCCCCCAGGAGCTGCAGCAAGGGTCAGGAGAGGCCAGTGCATCGGAGATTTTTCCTTTAGGTTTTTCCCCAGAACATTAACCAGACCCAGCCCTTGCCTCTGCCACCTCACTTAGGACATTTTATCCTGCAAATGACCCAGTGCCCAAGTCAGCTTGAAAAGTGATGATGAAAAATATCCTACCTTTTTCTGTTCCATCCTGCTGTTCCACCTCAGGAGGCTCTGACTTTCAGAAGTGCCCAAAACCCCACACCAGGCAGCCAGGCTGGATCCAACATTGTCCCCAACACCCATCCAGCCTCAAGATGCTTCTTTTAAAACTGTCCCCCACAGTTCAGGGGAAGTGGGGACAGGGACAGACAGGGAGTGAAACCCTCTTGCTGTGGCAGGGCCAGGTCTCCTTTCCCATTTAGGCAACAAGCAGCACCTGGGAGGAAGAGCCCAGCTCCCCCACACTAATCACAGGCAGCTGTGGATTGGGGGTTGCAGAGGCATTTGGGTCACATTTGACTTTGGACAAGGTGAAGGAAGGTTAGAGAAAGGCGAAGTGAGTGCAGTAAGACAAAACTGGCTGTCCTTACAAGCTGTGGTGCAATTGGTGTTGTCAGAGAAGGGTTTTGTGCCCAGCCAAGGTAGGACACTGCATCCAAGGAGTAAAAAACTGATTAAACAAACACAGAAAATATTTTGGGGACCTTTGTCATCAGGGTGAAGGAGATGGATGTGAACAGAGCATCAGAGTAGACTCACATACCCCTCCACCAGCCCCAGGCACTAATAGACCTTAATTTATAGCCAATGCCTGGGTAGCACGAGGTTTTTACTTATTTCACCAGAAGTTTGAGTCCCCCTTTCCTTCAGCACTCATTTGCTGAACCCCCAGTGTAGCACAGCTTTGCCCCAGAAACTTGGTTTCTTCTTTCCAGCACACACCTGGAAAATGTCACCAGCAGCACCTGGGCAGTGTCTGTGCCTGGGGAAGCCCAGAGCTTCCTGAGCCCCTCTTAGACTTATGATCAGCTAAAAAGGGAAAGGAAAATACTTCTTTCTCCAGTAAATTCTCTCCTGTTGGTGCCTTGGCATTTTCACTTGTCCTGTTATTGTTGTTTGGACAGGAGCTGTGTCAAACAAAAGAAATAGAAAAAGGCAACACCCCACACACGGAGCCCGTGGCTGAGGGCACAGCATCACCTCCTCCAGGTACCCCCCGGCCTGGGAGTGTGGGGAACTGACCCCACTTCAAGCAATAAATGTTTTCTTCAAATTCCATGCATTTTGTTGCCGAGCTGTTGGAGAGCAGAGGGTTCTGAAGAGGTCAGAAGTGGGGCTTGCAAAAAGAAATTGGGCATCCAGTTCACCTTGTGTGTCATTCAGGTGGGAGCTGGGAAGAGTCATCCTGGAGCTTTACACCAAGCTTGGAAGAGAGCTCTGCCAAAAAGGCAGCACTGAAATGGAGCAGTAAGAGAGGCCAACCAGGAGAGGGCAATCACTAACTATGTTAAATAACATGCCAAGCCTTTGAGGAGCAAGTGGGATATACAGAAGGCTGGAAACCTCTTTACCCATACAGCCTGGGGAAGAGGGTGCTTAACTAGAGAAACCACCCCATTCCCTTGACAGCAGTTCGACCGCCAGGTAGCCCAGATGGGGCAGAAGTTCCTGCCCAAACCCTTTGGATCTGGCAAGTGCTCCCCAATAATGTCCATCCACAGCGAAGTTTGCACACATTGACACTGACAAATTATCCTCCTGCCAGAGGGAGGGGGTGCTGGCCCAACCCAGGCTGGATTTTTACTTTTCCAGAGAAAGGGCCATGTTTTCTCATTTCCCAGTAAGCTCAGCACCGTGGAGGTGGGAAGGTACAAGTGCCAAGGTTGAAATTGCTCTCTGTGCCTCTGGTACACCCCTGCACTTGTCAGGCACCTCACTCATCCCTTATCCCACCCCCAGCCCCAAAGGGAGGACAGCACTGTCACTGCATTTGTGTAAGTGGAGGAGTTTAACAAGAGACTGCTGTTGCTGCGTGTCTGGAGAGTAGTTCAGTCTCTGCTCTAACCTAGTAATTAAGCACTGAAAATATCTCTCTTCCTTAAAAAGGAAGAAAATGAGCAAAGCTGGAAGGAAGGCAGCAGTGGGCCCCATCCCTCCCACTGCAGCTCCAGGGTGCCCTGTCCCTGTCCAGCCTTTACTGGGCAGTGTTTCAGTGTCGAGCCTTTGGACAGATTCCTGTAGCAAAAATGAATTTTACAAGATCACAGAATCATTAAGGTTGGGAAAGACCTCCAAGATCATTGAGTCAAACCTGTGCCCAATCCCCACCTTGTCACCCAGCCCAGAGCACTTAGTGTCACATCCAGTCCTTCCTTGGACACCTCCAGGGATGGGGACTCCACCACCTTCCTGGGCAGCCCCTTCCAATGCCTGACCAACCTTTCTGTGAAGAAATTCCTCCTAATGTCCAACATGAACCTGCCCTGGCACAGTCTGAGGCAGTTTCCTCTTGCCCTGTCACTTGTTACCTGGGAGAAGAGGCCAAACCCCACCTGGCTCCACCCTCCTGTCAGGGACTTGTAGAGCAAGAAGGTGCCCCCTGAGACTCTTCTTCTCCATGCTAAGAAATAAATCCAGCTGATTCCCTCCTGGTCTCAGAGCACAGGTATCCAGCCAGCCCTTGCTTCAGACACCTTTTTATCACCTTGTGACATGAAACATAACCCCCCATCCCAGTTTGGGGTAGGAGAGGGCAGGGGTGCTGAGGGGATGCTGGGAGCAGCCTTGAGCGCTGCAGTCCAAGAGTGCATCGATAACACTCTCAGCTGAGTGAAGCTGACACTGCTGGAGAGCTCAGATTACAAGGACCCAGACTTTATGAGTGGATTTATAGCTGAATAAAAGCCTTGAATTACAGTCAGAGATGTAAGGAACCAACAAATCCAGTCTGGCCCCCGCAGCAAGTTTTGTTAACCAAATCAGAGGCCACCTGCACTACCAGCTATGGCTCCTGAATGACCTTCAGGGTTAGCTCCTGGTTGGGTTGTTATTTGAGAAAAAAATTGTACAAGGCCTTTATTTTGAGAACTCTGTAAGCCAGGTTCTTCCAAGGGGATAATTGGACTGCAGAGCTTTCAATTTTTCTGGGAAATTTCTCTGAACAGAGTGTTATGGATACTGCAGAGATGAGCAAAGTCCAGCAACACTCAGAGACAGGTAAACAGTGTCTGAACATCCCTGACTCATCACCACCACCATTAGCCTTGGTCTTGCTGTCTTTGCATTTAAGAATTCCATCCTCCCAGGTCCTCAAAGGGAGAATCCTTCCCAGTGCTGGTGACCTTGGTGAGAATTATCCCAGGAAAAGTCTGGCCACAAACAACATCACTAAACCGTATCAGGAAAGAGATGCAGACACACAGTATCTCTTTAACAGACCTTTATTAGCAGACTGTTCCCTACATGAAGAATCCGAGTTAGATTTGCATTATAACAATTTGTGGTTACAGCTACAAAGATGGTTGTCATTTTGCATTGATTTTTGCATTCTGATATTCATATTCTCATTAGGCCACACTGGTAGGAAGGAGCCACTGCAGAATTTATGACAGGTCTCAGGAAGAGGGGGGGTGGAAAAAAATCATCACTAATCCAGATTGGTTAGATTTCCAAGTGGCTGCTATTGACAGCACTGAGAGTTAAGGCAGAGCCTCACCTGGGAGACTCTCCATGAACCACCAAAATCTGTCCAAAAAAAAGCAGCTGCTGAGTGCTAGCAAATCCTTCTCCAATTTCTCATACACATCTCCACAGTGTCCTCCTGCATGTGGTGAGCACTCACTCAGCAGCAGGGTCTTCTGATTCAGCCTCAAAGCACTGATTCAGCTCATGTCCAAGTGCAAGTTTCCTTCCACCTCTCTGGAAATGTGTATTGTCTTTAGTCCCTGAGATTTCTCTCCTCCCCCCTCACCTAAAAATTCCCCAAATTGCTCTTAATTAGCTGTTGTGACATCCAACATACACAGACCTTCTACTTCCCAACTTCAGCCATCCACCCAAAGCCTTTCAGCCATGCACAGAGGCAATTCCAAACTAAGGCAAGCCTCACAGTGCACCCTCTCCCTAAGCTTCTGCTTCCTCACCTGCTCCCTTCTCTCCTATGGCTTCTTGCTACAGAATTTCTCTGGGCTGAGGTCCTCCAGCAACAACCCCAGATGTGGAAAAGGCAGCTCAAGCCCCACAGGGAAGGTACACGAGTGACTTTAGCGTCCCTCCCCACGACTCAGCTGTGTGATGTGAGAGAACTAATAGAGAACTTTTTAAAACAGGAGAAATATAAGCACAGTAACAATATTTAAACAAGTCTATAAAAATAGTCTGACATAACTCTGTTCAAATAAATACAAAATAAATATGCTTTAAGCAGTAAAACAGTGGAATGCAACGCTGGTCCATTTTGCCCAAAATGAAAAGTTGAATGAGGATCTTCCAGGCCTCAGAAGTCGGATCCTATTAACTAAAGCAGCCCATAATGCAATCAGAGAAATTTTAAAGCCATCTCTTTCCCTTAGCCTTATGAAAAGCACCCTTTGAAAGACGAGCAAGCATGTCTTCAGGACTGAAAGCCCACCTCTCCCAGTGACCACCAGCCCCTCTCCCTAACACCCCTTCCCACAGCGGACATTCCTGACTTGGGGCACCCATGGAAACCTGAACATCCATCTACCAAGAGGTCTAAAGAGAGAAATAGCAGCTTAGGCACGGGGTTTGGAAAAGGCCCAACAGCTCTCCTTGGCACCAGGCAGAATGGAATCGAGAGGTCCATGCAACGCTGCACAGGGGCTCTCACGTCGTGCTGGGAGCACAACTGCACAGGAGCTGTGAAATATTGTGTTTGTTCACTAAAGCCATGCATCACGGTGCCGGTCAGCCCAGGGCTCTCCTGCCTTCCCCTTCCCAAGCCCCTGCTGAGTATAAGACAAGCCAATCCCGGCATGCAAAGGATACAGGCATGCAGGCTCTAGTCTGCTGCTTCTGTTAGTAAGTGCATCTTGTTAGTGGGTTTATGAGACACACTTAAACCTATAAAAAATAAATAATTCTAATTCTTCATCAGGCTGGCTTAAGCAACCTTCAGCCTGACTGGATAAACCACTGCCCACCAGCCCTCCAAACCAGTATAGATCAAAATTACATTTCATGTCAAGTCTTGGAAGCAGAACATGAATGTCTCCTACCCAAAGGAATATTTGTAAACATTATAACAAGCCCGGTGTGGCAGCAGCTCCTACACAAGGTTTGTACAAATTTAAACAATGGGTAGGAAGTTAAACAACTGAATGGAAAAAGCAGCTGTCTGAATGGAAAAAGAAGCTCTTTCAGCAAGTCAGAAGGTGCTCATCTGTAGGCAAACAGCTCTGTACAGGCAACAGGCTGAGGGCAGACCTGTAACCCAGATCTTTGCTACTCTGTCATACTGCTGGGAACTGACCTCAGCAACTCCTGCCCTAAGATTCTCTCAGGAGTTCACCTCCTGGTCTCCCAAAGGCCCAACAAAAAGGACCACGTGATGGTTTATGTGGAGCTCTGAGTAGCAAGATGGCAAAGGACACCAGATCCTCCCCTCCCCCTTACTGACTCACAAACAATCTGGGATTTCACAGCTTTGCTTAGTCAGCTTAGTGTCGACACATTCACAGAATGAGAGATGGCTTATACGTCTTGGGATCGCATCCCAAGATTTCAGAGTTCAAAGTCCTCAGCATCTCCTGGTCACCGTGAATCCACGCCCAGAGTCATCTTCAAGTTCTCATACACCACATAGCTGATGCTCACAGCTGGGATCACCTTCATAAAGTTGGGCGCCAGACCCCGGTAGAGCCCAAATGCTCCCTCTGTCTTCAGGATGTGTTTGAACAGTCCCCTCATTGTCACCTCGGGAGCACCCTCCACTGAAGCTGCAACAGGGAAAGACACAATAAATAATGCAGCCTAGGTGGTGGAAACACGTTAAGAGCAGTTCTGGGTCACATGCTTCCAGATGTTCACAGAGCAAAGGTGCTTTGTGGGGGACAACATTAACTTCTCAGCACACCATGGTCATGCTGCACATCACCACTATTTTCTCAAACTGCTGTACAGACACCCTTAGCCAAAACTCCTGATCTAAGCAAAACAGAACCTCTGTCCTGGAAGTCCTTGGCCCCAGTTGTTGAAGGGCAGCACAAAGTCCACTTGCAGCATCACAAACAGCCCACGTCAGCTGCACGGGC